TCTGCTCGGATATCAGCCCCTTGGGGCTCCTTCCAGACTCTCACAGGCTTCTGGACCACAATAGGAACAGAGGCAAGGTCTTGTTTTTATGAGGGTGTTTGGACCCTGGGGTCTCAGGTCAATACATGTTTCCTGGGCAGTTTATGTGAGCCAGGGTCTGAGCTGGACTCAGGTTCAATGGAGAGACAAGGTAGCCACAGCCCAAAGGGAAGAACATGCCAAGGAGCAGAGGAAATGTCAGAGATGTCAGCTACAGCAAGTGGGATAATGTGGTGAACAACTTTACAGGGAGAAACCAGAAAGTTCTCTTCAGGGTTCCAAATGAAACCTGGGAGTGGGGATGGGGAATGGTGTGGGTATCAAGGAGGTGTCAAGAAGACAAGTGTAGCAGAGCGACCAGCATGTGCCATACTGAAGAGATTGGATGTGCTGCTCTTCACTCTTAAAGGTGAATGGGGAGGGAGGAAAGATGCTTGCCCAAGAAGGGGTGGCTTATCTCAAGGCTCCAGGGCTGAACCAGTGACAATAGCTGGGGCTGGGGTGTGACAAGGCTTACTTAAGACAACTCTGGGCTCAAAACCATGGGAAGTGGAAATTGGGGTGGGAGTAAATCCTAGAGGGAAAAAAAGAGTATCTAGCCTAGTTCAAGGGCTCTTACTGGACTTAGAGGATAGGAAGTATGGCTGTAAGCATTCCCTTAGCACCTCTTGAAGCTACTCCTAGTGCCCCCATGCCTGTCTGGGCCCCTCAAGAGGATCAGGGCAGGGCCACAGCCTGCGCCTCATGCCCAGGAGAGGGCAGGACTGGGATCCAGGCAAGTACTAGGGGCAAGTCCCACTCAGGACTGTTCTGGAAGCCAAGAGCATGTGAATGGGCAAGTAGGGATAAGAAAGCGAGCTCCAAAAGTCACTCACAGGTTCCTCCTCACTGCTGAGAGTTTTTGCTGCCATCTTATGGGGGGCTTTTTCCAGGATGGGCATCTTGGTGACTCCTGGTTGAGGAAACAGAAATACAGATCTGGGGACCAAGAAGCAGAAAGGCATCAACACAACAGCCACATAGACCTGCCATAGACCCATCATCTCCTGTAGTCTGATGCCCACCTATACCCTGTAAGGAGGCCAGAGTGGAACAGTAGTGTACAGGAGTCTCATTGAGGCCTGGCCCCAATTTCCTGGCCTCCAGATCAGCTCCCCTGACCACAGTGTCCTTTCTGAACACCCCAGTAAGAGAGCATGGAACCTGAAGTGAGCTTCCATCTGGTACCTGCTTCATCATACTGCTGTCATCCAGGCCCAACTGACTGCCCTGGGGAGTGTAGGAAGCAGCAGGACTGGGCTTGCCCACTCCTAACCCACACTTGCTTTGTTTTTGCCTGGGACCGAAAAGATGTGTGATCTGCAGATTAAAATCTCTCTTTCCCACTAGACTGTGACCTTATCCAGGGCAAGACCATACCTGCAATGTTTAGTGCTTCATTTCTGGAACCTAGCAGGTGCCTGGCATGGAGTAGTATTAGTGTTGGGGAACCAAGTAAAAGAAATGCATGTATGCATGAATACATACATGAATACATTCCTGAATAAATGCAAGGTCCTCCAAGGACCTCCAAGGCCCTGGGTTCCAGGAGGCTCTCTAGGTTGATGGGGAGGCTGGCATATGGCCAAGACATAGAGGGTCCTGGCACCAGCTGATGGCTGTGATGTAGGCACTCTGGTCTGCATGTTCCCAGTGTAGGTGCCATGGGAATGCTGAGGGAGGTGGTACAGGGAAGCTGGGCAGCCCAGTACCCCAGAAACTGCCTGACAGCCTTGAGAGTAGTGGATTAATTTTAAAGGGTTAGTAGGGTGAGCCAGACCAAAGGAGGCACAGGTCAGTTTTTAAGAGCTCAGACTCTACCCTTAGAAATCCCTATAAGCTAAGTGTAAGCCTGTAAAGACACACACCCATGATTTCTACTCACCCATTCCATATTTATTCCCAAGAGCCTAAAATTGATGCTTAGACCATTCCACTCCTACCCTACACGAATCCCAGGCAGGCACAGTACAGGTAAGGGCTGGGCATGGGCACAGCTGGTCTAAGGGCAGAGCATCCAGAAAGATGGATGAACCCAGTCCAGTGGTGGAGGAGCCAGGGGTTGCCTGGAAACTCTGGGCAGAAAATGTAGAGTCCTTTTAGGTACCGTACCAGGTGCTCAGGACTAGATGGTCTCCAAACAGCTGGTGCAATACCGTGTAGTGGCTTCCCCCACCCACCATGGAAGCGGCAGTATCCAGGTGAGGGTCCACCCCCACCACGGCAGGATTTTGAAAGGGCAAAGAAAGGTAAGGTCAGGTTGATAAAGGCCCTAGAGACAGTGCAGCCCATGCTTCCTATCTGATCTGGCACCCCACCAGCGCCATAGCTGGAAGATACTAGTCAAAACTCAGAGACCCCACAACTTGGAAAGCTGCAGGGATAGAAGCAGTACGGTTTCCTGAGGGCCAATGGTGAGATCTTGGTGCCTGAGCCAACTACTCTTTCTCCTTGGCTTGGTTGGGCACCTAGAGGGTGTATGTATGTGTGTATATGTACCTTTCTGTCTGTCTGTCTGTTTGGTGCCCTCCCACCAGCCAGGCTTTCAAACACTCCCCACAGAGATCTCTGCTCTGCCCTGAAGGGCCAACTCCAGCTCGACTCGACACCACAGGCTGTCCAGCCCCTCCAAAGACTCCCCCAGACCTGGCTCATGCTTGCTGTCGTCGCCCTCTCCCCACCTCCTGCCTCTTCCAGAGTGGGAGAAAGGTGAGTGCTCTCTGACACTTGAGGGTAGTCGGGGAGAGACCTGCAGACCCTCTGACTGGGCACAGAAAGTGCAGACCTTGGCACTCAGCGGACAGAGGTCCAGAAGAAGTGCGAACATGCACGTGGAGCCGCGGAGCCCTGATGATCAAGGATCTCCAAGCCCTTTCCCCCAGACGTCTCATCGTCCGGCTCCCTTGTTCCCTGCCCCCACTCTTTGTGGGTAAGCACCAGAGCGGCGGAGTCCCTCAGTCTCCTGGTGGTGCCACGACGGCCGCTGCTGTTCACGACTAGGAGGACTCCGAGAGTCCCGGGACCTCTCGTCCCTGCGCGATCTCTGGACGGAGACGTCCTCTGCTCGCCACGCTGTGTGCCGCCAGCCCAGCCCTTCTCACCTGCTCTCCTAGGCTGCACCGCTCAGCCGCCGCTGCACCACACCAAGCAGGACTGGAGGCGGGAGTATGAGCTCAAGGGATCCGAGAGCTCGTCAGCAGAGCGAGGGTGGGGGGTTGCCGCCTCTGTTGGCTGTAGAGCCTCCGACGACTTTGTTGGGTTCCCGCGGGTTCCCGACCTGCTGCCACCCGGCCGCGCCAGTCCTCTCCTCCTGTAGTTCCTCCTCCCTCCCCTCCCTTCTTTTCTTCCCTTCCCCAGCCCCACCCCTGTCCTTCCCCCCCCCCACCCCGCCCCTCCTTTATCCCTCGCCACCTCACTCGCCGCAGCCTTCCGGGATCCCACCTCCTGCAACGCCCCCACTGCGCCACCCCAGCTGGGGCCAGTTTGTACAAGGGCAACAGAATCCAGGACTGAGAAGGGTGTGCAGAACTTCCCGCGAACCATGCCATGCCCAAGTCCCCTCGTTCATCCAACCCCATTATCCTAGCCGCAGCCGTGTCTGCAGAGCTCTGGGGATGATTGGGTCGGAGGAAATCTGTGCCCTCCCCATCGTCTAGGCCATACTCAAATACTATATATATCACTCCTTCCAAAATAAAAGCAACAACGATAACGATGATGGTGGTGGTAACAACAACCTGTTTGTTAATCACAGCAGGTCCTCTCCATCCTGGATGGTACTACTGGGATGGGGAAGGATACAGACTAGGGGATGCTTAGAGACAGGCAGCCAGAGGCAGACACTCCTCCCAGACAAAGCACTCCTCCCCCTCCCCACATATAGATCATTACACACAACACACAGACCCATAAAGACAGATTCTGTCCAGACAAACACACAAAGCCAGACACATGTACCTAGGGCAGACTGTGCTCACACCAGCGTGCAGATCCCTCCCTGCAGGCCTTACAACCCTGGCGGGCTCTGCTCACACTGGAATTGGAGCACTCTGCAGCCTTAAGCAGGCCACAGGCTCCAGGACTGGGAGTGGCACAAAAACGCATGCCTGGGATTCCTGGGGACCAGAATTCAAAATGGGCAGTTGCTTCCATTCCAGGATGGGGTTAGGATGGGGAGGTGTGAGGGGGTGCACCAGATCCTACACTGGTATCCTCTCCAGTCCAGGCCCAGACCCACACACAAGACAGGGACAGGGCAAGACACACTGACCACAATTTTCCTACACCTCACAAGATAGAGCCTGACTCTCAAACAAACACACATCACACTCGTGTTTGGGGAGATGGAACGTCAGCCCAGAACAGCTCTTCCCCTACACCCTGTGGGCATCTAGATGGGGTAGGATGCCAGGGTCAAAGGGAAGCCTTCGATACAAGTTTGTATCTGCAGGGCATGTGCTGCAGGGGCAGAGCCTATGCACCAAAGGGTGCGGGTCCTCAGTTTACCCTAGGCTGCACCCTAGGGCACTGCGCTGGGCTGTCTCGAGCTAAACGGATGTGAGGACTTGGATGTGAGGACTTGGATGTCCATGGGCGAGAGCCCTTGTTGGGTTTGCTTCTTTCATATCTATCTCCTCATTCAGGTAGCAAAAGAGCCACAGGTTCCCCGTGTGCCCACCGGGCTGAAACTTGGATTGCGGCTAGACTCAGCTCACCCTCCCCTTTGTCCTGGCCCTGTGCCTGGCTGCCCATCCCCATCAGTAAAGAGACTCAGTCTGGGACAGATTTCTTTATTGATTCGGGCCGGAGACAACGTTGTGCAGCAGGCCAAGGAACAGAAGGGAAGACAGAGAGACATACAGCCCTACACAGGGTGGCACCGAGATAGAGACTTGCATGCCTCGTTTTCTGTGCAAGGAGCACATCACTTTGCGGGCCTCGGTGCTCCACACTTTACTAGACAAGAGGGAGAGGGACACAGAAAAGGTCATGGAGAAGGAACACAGGCAGAGGAACTAAAGACAGGGGCTGGCTCGGGATACTCGCTGGAGGGGCAGGCCCTGAGCCTGAGCTGGCCACTGTGCTCACAGAACAGCAACCTTGACCTGATGGGTAGGAAGTGGGTGGGTGGCCTGGAGAAGGGGCGGGGCTGCTAGCTGCGGGTGTAGTAGTTGCTGTAGTCATCCTCGCACTCATCAAATGGGCACCGCGCGCTGCGAGGCGCGCTGTCTGAGTGGGACACAGGGCACTCACGCAAGCGCACGGCATCGTACAGACCCTGCGGGGGCTCATCCAGCAGGATGTCCCGCTCGGAGCGGGAGCGCGTCAGGAGGCCCACATTGCGCAGCAGCAGTAGGACAGGAGCGTAGAGAAGGTTGGCCAGGCCCATGCCAAGGCTAAGCTGCGCAAAACCGAGCGAATGAACAATATGGCCCGCCACTATGGGCCCCAGCGCATAGGCCACGGAATAGGAGATGTCGGCGATGGCATAGACACTTCCGTAGACCGAAACGTGGCGCACGTCCACGAGAAACGCGAGCGTGGGCAGCAGAGCTGTGTCAACCAGCGCAATGCCGAAGCAGAGGCCGCAGAGCGAGGCCACTAATGGTGTGAAGGAGCGGCAGGCAGGCACCACGCATGAGCTGGCACCGATCACTGCCAGCCCCAGTGCGCCGTAGAGCCACTGCAAGTGTGGGTAGCGCGCCGCCAGGCGCACGGTGAGGTAGACGCCTAACACGTGAGGCACAAAGGCCGGCAGCCAGACCATGCCCATCTCCCACTCTGAAGCCGCCATTGTGTGCTTCATCCACGTAGCGATGGTGGGTTCGAGGAAAGCGAGAGGGATGTTACAAGTAGTGAGTGCACCGGCCACCACAGCGATGTAGGGGTCCAGCATGAGGCGGTGGATGGGTGTGCCCACAGGCAGGTTGGCCCGCGCCCGTGCGGCGGCTGAGAAGGGCTTGGCCACCACTAGCAGCAACAGCGCGTCGAGCAGTGACACCGCGGCGAGCACCAGAAAGGGCACCCGCTTGCCCGCGAACTCATAGAGGATGCCCCCGAAGGGTGGTGCCACTAGACTTCCAAAGCTGATGAAGGCCAGCGCTACGCCCAACGCGCGACTGCGCTCCGGCTCCTCGGGATACTTATCCGCGATCATGGCAATGCCGGATGTATCTGCGAAAGCCGAGCCCAGACCTTGCAGGCTGCGCGCAGCGAAAAGCGTGGCATAGTCCTCCGCGAAGGCAAACAACACGGTAGAGGCGAACATGACACCCAGGCCGATAAGGAGCGGCACGTCGTAGCTCATGCGATCGATGAAGGTACCGCTTAGGGGATTCACCAGAAGCTGCAGGATGGCCTTGGAGGCAAACAGCACCCCGATCTTCACGTCCTCGCTCTCCGTGGGGTAGCGGGGCCGAAGAGCAGACCCGGCCGGCCACGAAGCCGTCGGGGACTCTGAGCTGTTGAGCGTGTTGGCACTAGCATTGGCTGGAGTGAGCGGCGGCAGGGTAGGCACCCACACTTCTGGGGTTGGAATAGGACTCTCGCTGCCCCCGCGCATGTGGGCGATGTAGTCAGGCACGATGGGCACGATGACCATGTACAGCATGTTGTCCAGGAATAGTGCCACGCACACGATGACCAGAACCAGGCGCCGCTGCCGCCGGGGCTCCTGGAGCGCTGCGCCCACCGTCTCTGACAGCTTGGTGGCTGCCTCTCGGGCCTGGCCCGCTGGTTCCATTGCCCCCACCCGGCCGCACTTCCCAGGACACCGCCACCGGGTCGAACGCAGCCGCCCTGCAGGACACAGACTAGAGCTCAGAACTTCGGGGGCGCGGTCCGCGTCACGTAGCGCCCCCTGTGCCTCAGGTAGCTGTAGGGCTCATGGCCCTGCACCTCAGGAAAAGCAAGGACCCGGTTCGGAGAAACGCCGGCGCTGTTCCGGGCGGAACCGCAGACCCTCTGCTGCTGAGCTCAGGGGTGATCACGAAAGGCGGGTGCGCAGAGGGGTCTGGGATGGAGACTGAGCGCGCTGCGCCTCTGGCGCGCCTGGACCCTTCCCCGCAGGACTGAGAGATGGCTCGCGCGGGCCGAGGGGCACGCTGCTGCCTCCCGCCCGCCGGCTGCTCACCCTGCAGCCCGTTTCCCCTCCCCTAGCGCTGACTCCTGCCTCCTCCTCCTCCGCCTCCTCTTTTTTCCCTTTCCACTCGGGGCTGTGACGCTGCGAGTCTCGGCCCCCGAGTGGTGCCCGGGCCACTAGCGTCGCTCATGCTAATGCGACGTCCGCTGGGCGGGAGCCGGGGGCGGGGCGCGGCCCAGTAGGGGGTCTCTTTCCCAGAGGCACCGGGGCTGAAACCCCCAGAAAGGGGTCTTGGTACGGAAAGAGTCCTGGCTAAGTCCCTGAGGATATTGGGTGCTACATGCGAGGAACTGGCTTTCTTCCTACCTTCCGCCCCTAGTTAGGACCCACCGGGTCCGAGTCCCCTTTTCTTCCCCTGGGTGGGGGCGCACAGCGGCCGCGTTCACCCCGCCCAGCAGGAGAGGTGGGCGCCGGAGACTCCAAATCTCCACTGCAGTCTGGATCTCCGAGCACAGAGGGCAAGGAGTCTCCGAGGTGAGCCGCAGCCTCGTCCATCTGCTCTAGTAGCTGGATTGTGGGGCTGAGACCCGAGGAGTTTAGGATACAGATACCCCAACCCTTCTTTTCGCCCCGCCCTCTGGCCCCTTCTACCCCAGGGAAGGGAGGGTGAGGCAAATAGACTGCTGGGCGGTGTTCCGATGACCCGCCCTTCAGGAGAATGTCAAAGCAGAGAATTCCTAAGAGAATCTGGGGACTGAGGAGAAAAGTCGCCTTGTCCCTACCGGGCTCGGAGGCCCAGAGTATTAGCCCGGCTTCTCCCACTCTCCTGCACTACCTCGCCATCCTCTCCCAGCCAGTAGACCCCTTTTCCTTTTTAACTGTCCAGGTCCCCCAGCTCCGCCTCTTCTCCCTTCCCTCCTCCTCACCCCTCCCCCTCTAACTCCTCCCAGGCTCTGTGCTCGCCAGAGAATAACCCCATCTCGGGCTCTTGGGAGTCCCGCCCCGTTCCCTACTCCCTATTTTCACCCTTTCCCACCCCACCCCCGCCACCCCTGCCACCAATCTCCAAAGCTGCCTCCAAGTCCCGGGTGGACTCAGGGAGCGATGTGGCTTGGGTCCTCTCAGAGCTGTAAGAAAGACCTTTTGGATGCCACGCCCAATATCACCCCTCCCCCGTCCTCGGTCCCCCGGGCTGGACTCAGCCGCTTTGCTCTAGTCAGAGACCTAAGGGAGGCTCACTTGCAGAAATGGCCGCACCCACTGAGACTTCCCGTTCTCAGCGCACAGGCTGAGCTTCCCTGGTTGTACACTGGATCCAGTGCTCCCCCCAAAGAGCGTTGACCCTGGATGGCACATCCTGTCCATGTACCGGTCTGTGGGTTGGCAGGAGAGAGGTTTTGAGGCAGCTGAGTTTCGGAGAATTGTGTTGTTGGGATTATAGTTTCCTTCTCTCTTCCAGAGTCAGAGAAGACTCTTCCTACTCTTCTCACCTCAAAAGCAAATTAGCATTAGGTTCAGCTTCTTCCCCTACCATACTCCCTGCCCCCAAGAATAACTTTGATGCAGTGCGAAGCACTGGGGCTTTGGAGACTGGCGACTGAGATGGCTTTCGGCTCTTGCGGTTACTAGTTAGGATACAGAGGAAATTTCTTCACCCCTTTGTGTCTCAGTTTCTTTATCTGCAATGTAGAGTAGTAGTACCCACTGATTAGGGTGGCTGGGACATAGGAAGAGCAATGTAAGTGCTTGCTATTGTTATTATCACCTGTAAAATGTGCTATTTTGTTCATTTCACAGACGTGAGTCTTGTGAAGAGCAGATAAAAGGTACGGGGTCTGCCTGGCTTCCTGGCTAGTCTCTCTGGTTGCATGGGCATTGTGATTCTAGGCTCTGTCCTGGCTGGTGGAAGGCTGGAGGTCATTGGAAAGTTGGCTTCTGTGCCCCAGATGGCTATGGGATGAGGTGATGAAGACCAGAGCATTAGGATGAGAGGCAGCAGCCTATTGTCTAATCTGTCCCAGGCACTGCAGGGAAGGAGAAAGTCTTACACTTAAGGAGTGCCCTCGCCTGCTCTGCAGCAGTCTAAGGGCTCTCTCTCTTTGAGGGAGGGAAAGAGCCTCAGTATGGGGCAGGCCTGGCTCTGGGTGATCCTGGGCAAGTCATAGCTTCTCTCTGAGCGCCAGCCTTGGTATCTTTTAAGTAGGGATTAGCAAAGAGCCCTCTCACTGAGGACTTTGAGCAGAAATGGGTACTGTAAAAGGGCTCTGTTGGGGTGAAAGAATTATTTAAAATTTTATTTATAGGCCTTTAGTCAGCACACAAACACTTTTCAGCTAATTGCAGGCTTCCTTTATCTTTGCAAATTTATGTCACCTGTCTAGCTCTCCAGTCCTTTGAGTTAGAAATTCAGGTGGCTTCTGACTCTCTCATTATTATGCTTTTAAAGAGGTATTCTTCCCTCTTGCCAAACAATTATTATTTGTGCATATATTGTTTGCCCTGTCTGACTGGAATGAGGGAATTTAAAGCAGAAATTTTCTCTTTAGTTACTGAAAAACTTAGAACTTAGTAGAATCTTAGAGAAGAAAAACTTTTCCAGGGCCTTCAAGGTACAGACCCTTCTCCCAGTCCTCTGGCACACATAATTCATGGCTGTTTTTGAGCATGGAGCCAAGTTATCTCTAGGCTCATGCTTAACTCCCCTGTCTTCCATTCCCTAATGGCAGGAAACAGACTCACTTATTAAACAGTCTGCCAGGGGTTTTATGTGTGCTGTTGTAGTTAATCCTCACTCAATCCTGGTGTAGTGTAGGTGCTATTCCTCCTGTCTTATTGATGAAAAACTGGACATAGAGAAGTTGAATCACTTTCCCAAGATCCCAGGAGTGGATTTGAACCTGGGCTGTGTGACTTGTCTTGTGGTCCTCACACTGCCTCCCCACATCTTGTACCTCAATATGCTTCTTCTATTTCATCTTCAAGGTGGCTACAGACTGGCAGCATAGAAAGAGGGGCAGATGAAATCCATGGGAGGAAGAAGGTCTTGGGTTGGTTCCCTAAGGAGGCCCCAGGGACACTAAACTCCTTCACCTTCCTACTCCAAGCTCAGAAGACAGCTCCCCATACCATTCCTTCAGTAGCCCAAGGGCTAGGGTACAGGATTTGCAGGGAGGTGAGGACCCTCTGCTTCAACAAAAGGATTGGGCCTAAGCCTTTGCAGGACATTGGGAACAACGCTTCCATTCTTGCCCTTGCCTTAGGGGAGCTGTCCAGGGTGCTGGCCCTGACTCCACCACTTGCCAACCAGCCACCTACACAGTCCCTCAGTCTTCCTGTACCTGTGACTTCCTCTTCAAAAGAACTCAAGTAAATTCCTTTCTGGAGACTTTTTTTTCTGAGTATAGTTTACAGGCATAAGAGAACTTCCCTTCCAATGCTGCTGAAGAAAAGGGAAGAATTTTTTCCTCTCCTTTTTCAGCCAGATATAGGAACTATTGCTACAAAGTCCCTATCTGGTATTCAATGTAACTCAGTGAGTAGAAGAAGGAATTTATTGATTAGAAACAATCAAATAATGTGCCAGGCACAAATCTAAACATTTTACAAACATTAACTAATTTAATCCTCTTACCAATCATTGTATTATATTTTTAAAAAGATTTTATTTATTTTTTTGAAGAGAGGGGAAGGGAAGGAAAAAGAGAGGGAGAGAAATATCAATGTGTGGTTGCCTCTCAAGCACCCACTACTGGGGACCTGGCCCACAACCCATGCATATGCCCTGACTGTGAATTGAACTGGTAACCCTTTAGTTTTCAGGCCCTCACTCAATCCACTAAGCTACACCAGCCAGGGCCATATTATATTTTTACAGGCAAGGATATTGAGGTATAATAATGCATCCATGGTCATATTTCTCACAAGTGGGGGAGACAGGATTCAATGCAAGATATCTAGCTCTAGCATTCAGCTCTCAGCCACTATGCTGTCCTGGCCCTGGGTGTCTGAAGAATATGACTTACTTGAAAGAATCTACCTCAATGCCTGACACTTTATAGGAGCTAAATTATGGTTTTGTGTGGACAGAGACAGCTTGGTGATTTAAGGATGACAAGCTTTCATTTTATCCACTGGATACAGTTGTGGCTTCAGCCTGTTAGAACCAAGTCCTTCTCATGCTGGACTGGTGCTTGTTGTAGACTTGGGGATTCTTGGTGTATGGGAGCTTGGGGAGGGGCCAGGAAGATAGTCTTCTTGCATCTGTGCCTGAGTGAGTTCTGGCTTGTGTGGGGTGGGATTCTTGGAGGAGTTGTGTGGAAGGGACCCATTTTGGAAGAAGGTATCAACCAATCCTGGACTGTTTTCTGAGAAGGTCATGGGTCAAGTCAATTCCAGGGAGGGACTTGTTGCTTCACTGAGATATCTGGTCCCTGAGACATAAAATGAGTATGTTTCTGTGGAAAAGCAGGTTGATAGTGTTGGCAGCATGTGGGTGGGGCACCTGATCCTGATTTATTATTATTTTTCTCCCTGGAAGCATTTAAGTGCCAGCTTAGTTCTAACAAAGCTCATGAGCCTCTTTGGATTCCAGTGCTGGGGGAGGGAGTACAGTTTACCCTGGCCTTCCTTGCCACCCACCCCTGTGTCCTTATTTGGGAGGACCTCAGGGCCTCAGCATCAATTAATTAATTAAGGCTTCCCCAGCCACATATTCTCAGATTCAAAAGAACAGAGCCACCCTGTCAGCTGTTCCCGGAAGCCTGTGAGTCTTGTGGCTGGGATCCAGAAGGACTACGTGTCTGCCTGCCTGCCCTTGAACAACTGGTCCTCAGGGCCCAGACCTGCCTTGTGAGTGTAGCTGAGTAATAAAGGGAAAAGAAAGGGAGTGCAGCTCCTGCACTGTGGGTGGGCCTCAGGGCTCCTCTCTATTGCTCTGAGAGCAGGGGCTGCCCCTATCTGCTTTCCTTCT